TGGCAGAAACAACCCCTGGGTAAGTCAAATATCTAGGTCCTTTTGTGGTCAGCAAGACTGGAAATGGAACCGAACCAGAGGGGGAGTAAATGTGACAGGGTCACGAAAGCATTTTCAAGTTGAGAATAATGATCTTCAGTAGGAATTTGCAGCCTTTCCTCTTCCATGTCATAAATAAAACAATATTAGATATTTTGTATTTTAAATATAGGCATATTGGTATGACACAATGCATGAATCAGCATTGAGCTCAAGATATTTTAATGTTTCATATAACTATCCACTTGTTTTATATCATGAATACAAAATATGACTTTCCAAAGTCTCATATTCCATTGACCTCTCTGAACAACAAAACACTGTTTGGGGAAGACACTTTAAATAACCTAAATTAATGTAGTTTTGAATGCAAAGAAGAGTCCACCTGACAAAGGCAGTGAAAAAGGAAGCAAAGAAACATACTGTAGATTTAGTACTTATTCTTGGGGGAATATATGACCTCGCCCTGTCTAATGTCAGAAGTTGCTGTAAACAAACCTTTTAAAAGATCATTTTAAAAAGTAATAATGTTATGTTTGCCAAAAATGCATAATCTGAACTTAATCATGAAGGAATATCAAAACAACCCAAATCCACTGATGTTCTACGAATAACTGGTTAGTACTCTTCAAAACCGTATAAGAGACAAAGAAAGACTGAGGAACGATCCCAGATTAAATGAGACTGAGGAGCAACCAAAAGCTTGGTGACCCTGGCTGGACTGGATTCCAAGGAAGAGCAGAGACATTAGCATTTTTTTTAAAGGGAGTCTCAGTTACTTCAATTACTTTGGTCTCAAACGAAAACCCAGAAATCCCTAAGTACAGTGAAAACAATCTCCACTAAGCAAAGTATACCTCTTAAAGCTTTTTTTGTCCAGGATATTAGCACTCATAATCTTGAAAGTCAGTATATATATTTGATATACAAAAATTTTCATAAGTTTAAAAGTTAAATTTGTTTTTAAAAATATAATCTTATTTTGTTCTTTAAAAAACATATTTTCTAAAGTAGGGTCGATATACTTTATCGACATGACTTTATCAGCTTCCTGGCTGTTTCAAGGGTATTTTGAAAGTGGGAGTCATAACTCGGCCACAGATGTTAAGTACATTCTTTTAATTGATGCTTGAATCTGAAATATCAGCCATAATTATAATACACAAAAAACAGAAGAATAATAATCCCATCTTGTATGTTTCAGGCCTTTTAACATCAATGAGATCAAGTGCATATTTTGCTTGATTACTGTGAAAGCTGGTGTGGGCACACGGCTTACAGTGTGTTTTGCCACCACGAATGTGGATTATAAAAGTATATAAACCAAACATTTCAAACAAAATTGGCATGGGGGTGAACCATTTAAAAATGAACCGCATAACGATTAAAACTGTACAATTTCAGCATATTCACAATGGTTAATGCAACCACATCCCAAGTACGTCTACTCTTGGCAGAGCTTACAAACACTCATGCCAGAAAACATTATTCTTTTCCAAAACATTAACCTTAAATTCAAAAATCTGATAATGTCGAGTCTTAAAATCTCTTGGCAACGGGTTTTAGCAACTAATTAGTTAATGAAATAAAAAGAGTTGGGTAAACTAAAACTATTCAGCTGTTTCAGCTACACATGGAAGTATTAGGGCTGCCAAATACCAGAATTTCAGGAGGTATTTCAGAGCATACATTCTCTACGGCTGCTCTTCAGCGGGCACTCCCCTCTACCGCCAGCCCAGGCAATAGAGCTGTGGGTCCCCGGGACCCTGTGCTGAAGATACCAGGGCCCTCCCTCCACAGTCATGCCAGCTCCTGTGGCAACAATGGTTGCAGAGGGGCCCCCACCTTCCCAGGGAGCTGGGCAACAGCTCCACAGGAACGCCCACTCCCTGAGCTCAAGCTCAGAACGCAAAGCACCTCTGCCCCGTCCTCCTCCTTTACGAAGCCTGCACTCCTCTGGGAAGTTCAAACTGACCAGGGAACTATTTTAACTATATGTCTAGTCAGTGGTTTTGGTCAAAGGAAAACTATTTGCTTTTTATTTTATTAAGAAATATATGTTTCTTAAAGAAAATATTAAAAGTAGAGGGAAGACATAACAATTCTAAAGTCCTACTTTAGCATTTTGCTAGTTATATTGTCTTATTTTATTCAAAAGTTTTTTCTATCATTATAACATTACTATATTTTTATATTTTACCTAACACTATATCATAAGCAGCTTTCCAGGTTAACAGTCTTTTAAACAAATAGCTGTTTAATATTCCAAGTAACTATAACTTGTTTTATTTAACTGGTTCTTTGTCAGTGAACTTGTCAATTCACTTTTAAAATCATTTATTCCCTGAGCATCTACCACATTGAAGTCACTAGATTAAATATTCTAAATATTACACATATATGAATAAGTGGATATTCTCAGAACGCTCTTCAAGACTACAAAATGCATAGACATACACATGCAACATATATGATGCATATATGTGCACACTCACTACACGTGTCCCTAACCCATTTCATTCTTTTTAAATATGCTTATAGGATTGAAATATTCGAATTCCCTTTCCATGTTTTCTTTTTATTGCTAATTTCTGCTATCCTTGTCTGCTGGATTTGCTTCAGCATGACTGATCAGAAAGTCTTTAAAGTAGCCACAAAAGAAAATGTGAGCATCATTAAATATTTTATCTTACAAACATCCCCAACCAAAAATATTAACTACACCTGTGTTTTATACAAAATTGCTGTATGATATAATGTTGGGCTGGTCACCTGGGAAGTGAAATAATTTGCTGTGGTTTCCTTTGGGTGGTGGGACCAAGAGAGAGGAGCAGACATCCGGAAACAGATGACTTGGAGCCACAGAGACAGATAGAAATCTTCCTTTCTGCTCTTACTTAGCTGTGTGAACTTCGACACATTACTTAAATCTCACTGTGCAGCAGTTTTGTACAAATGAGTTAAAAATATTTACTTTGCAGAGTGGAAATAAGGATTCCAGAAAAATCTATGTAAGGGCCAAGCATGTGCCTGGCATACAATAGACACCGAATATATTTATTTCTACAATGAGCATATATTCTGTTTTTAAAAGACAAACATAACTTCATATAGAAAAAAATTAAAGAGAAATTAATTTACTTGGCTTTACTGTTACATGTGAATTGTAATTCGTTACTCATTTCCTAGTAAAGCATCTAAGTCTTGAAAATTCAAGAATCTAGAAGTGTGACAACAGTGCCCTGAAGCTGACCAGGACCACCTTATAAACCAGCTTCTAATATTTATTAATCCTAAGCTTTTCCTCCTTTCTGTATATTTATGAATATATATCAAAGATGATGGAGTAAATTTCCAGTGTGGGAAAGCCACATCCATCGCCAATTGCGTTTGAGGACAATTTACTTCTCTTTCTAGTTCTTCTCACCTCAGCCTTTGATTTGAGAGGTAAGCACACGATTCCTCTGCTGCTGTCAGCAGGGGGAATTAACTGCTCATCTTCTAGAAAAGCAGATGTTCCCCCAGAGATGGCCTTGTGGAAAAGCGCTTTCTGGCCTGGCAGCACTTTGCCTCATATTTTACACTGTAGCTCTAACACTCAATCTTCTCTATGTCTAAACAAAATTTCCTGGCTAATGAGGGATTCCCTGAAGAGTGCCTCCAGAAGTTAATACATATTCAATTACCAGAGGTAAGTGAACAGTAAGTGTTCCCAGGGGCCTTATCTGTCCCTGAAATTCTCATTTTTTCCCATTTAAGTCAAACTAGAGTTAAAATATTGTAAATAATTACGTGAAATCAATCATCTTTACTCTGTCAGAGTAATTCAGCCATCATCAAAATAGACATAAAATTCCCAGAGCTAAAAAATCTTAAATGTTTTTCCCCATGGGCCCTAGATAAGTTTAGACCTCTGAATAGTCTCTCAGGGCTGGTCTGGGGCTCCATGGGGTATGGGGGGTACCCTGAGAGACAACTCTGGGCTGGATGTAAGACAGATTTGCAAGGTGTTTATTTGAGAAACTGCCTACAGAACTAGCAGGCGGACAAAATTTTACCTAAAACCTGTATGATATTTGGAGTTGTATGCTGAGAGAATTTCAGAATATCTCTAATCTCAAAAGAACCTGAATATGATTTTGTCTTTGTTGTCAAACCGTCTAAACTCAAGCTGTTTCCTTGGCTTTAGGATGGTAGGATCACTGTTATGGTACTTTCAGAGGCCAGTGTGCTCAAGCACACCCCAAAGCACAGAAAGCTTAATTTCAAAAGATTATTCTGGAAACTGTCCCTTGCACTTGCTGTTCCCTTACCCAGAAAACTCCGACCCCAGACACAGTCTGTTCCTTCACTTCATCTCGGTCTCTGCTCAAATGTGTCCTTACTGGAGAAGCCTTCCTGACTATCTCAGTCGAAGTAGCACAAACACACTCAAAAACAGCCTCTTTGTCACCTTAGGATACTTTATTTTTCTTATTTTCACTTTTCTTTTCCACTCTCTCACATTATAGATGTGTTTGCTTATTTTCCACCTTCCCAGCAATGCAAGCTCCACAAAGGAGGAACTTTGCTTTTTCACTGCCATATCTCACTCAATTCTTCAGAGTTCCTGAACACATGATCACTGTTCAATAAATATTTGTCACAGGAATGAATGAACTGTAGATGTTTTAGCCAAGTGCCATACATCTCTAGTCTTCTTCTCAGCAAGATATAAACGCAAACAAAGCTTCTGAGACACGCACAACAGGCTAACACTAATATCTCCTTAGATGTCTTTGTTGAAGCTTATGAAGCAAATGTACCATGTGAGCTACCCCAAGAGTTCACAAAAAGCAAGTTTCTCTTCTAATGTTCCCAGGCTATAATACTAAGAAACACACAACTTTCACCTCCTCCTTCCCCTCCCTGCACCGAAATCACGTTTTCACACTCACAGAAATCCAGATCTCTTTTCTTACCATACTGATCAGAATTGCTGGTGAAGAGAAGATAGCCAGTAGCACAGGTCTGGGACTCAATATCCAAATCTCCTAACCTCAGAATCAACCTCTTCCCTTTCGGCACTGTGATCGTCTTTTCACATACAGTGTGATTGGGGTAAGTCCCTGGGTAATTCTTAGATGTCATGGTGCCACTGTCCTGATAGGTCACTATGTGCCCACAGCCATCACCTGTTAAAGAAAAAGAAGACGAAATAAGTGAAAATAATTCTTACTGAGGATTGAGTGAGTCCTGTACAATCTCCAAGTCATGTATTTTATTACTTCTTGTGAAAGCGAGAAAAGCTAAAAATAAAATAAAATTTAAAAATGAGATTAAATTATTGAACAGTATCTGTTATTTCAGGTTATTTCATCTCTTATTTCCCGGTTTAATCTTGTGAACACTGTTGATCAAAATGTTTCATATATTAGAATGAAAAGCCCTTAGCAAACACATTATTTAATCATATTACTTTTTCTAATCATCTATCCACCCATCCAAGTGTGCACAGTAGGTCCTTGCCATTCACAGATTTGCTATTTGTGGCTTTGTTTATTAGCAAGTCAATGCCATGTAAAATTTTGCAATGGAGAAAAAAATATTATTTACTTCAGAAGGTTACTGTGCTGATTAAATGAGATAATATGCAAAAATCTAAGCTGCTGGTAGAATCTGAGACTTACGCTGAGAGGACTTTAAAAGCCTATCATTTAGCTGAAGACTATAAATCACTCATCATTCACATCTCGATTAATGACGGTCACAGATTTGATGGTTCCTGATACACTCAGTGTGTATCATTACAGAATGTCAAGGATCTCCTATATTGAGTGCTTGCCACACACAAGACCTGGTGTTCTTGGTGACACCAGTAACATCAGTGGCTGCTTCATAGTATTCAGAGTAAAATGGGAGACAGTCACATGTTCAGATAACTATACTACTAGGTGCTATGTACCCTATCAGGAGCTTAAAGTGCTGAGGAAGACAAGAGAGAATCTATTTCAGTGAGTCATCACTACTTCACTAAAACAAATTTTCTTAAGACTTCTCTGAGTAGGGAAGTTCATTAATTGACTAACAAGTTGCTCCAGTAGATTAAAGTGACCAAGTTAATCACTCAAATATCTAACGACATGCACAAGTGGGTAGGCTAAAAGACAAATAAGCACCATTGCATTCAAATTGCAAAATGCTTGTAGTTAGTATGCCTTCACATAAACAAAATAAGAATTTCTACCCTTAGCTGGAGAGAGAGAGAGAAAGAGAGGAGAAATCAGTTGGAGAAGGAACTCTTTAAGATAGTCAATCAAGGCCTCTCCACTGAAGCCCCAACTAGGGCATACAGGGACTCTAAAGACCAAGGCAGCCTTCTTCCTTCTCCTGCCCCTTCCTCAGTTAGAGGAGGATTCACCTGAGGGCTTCCTACTCTACTTCCTTCTTACGGCTCAAATGATAATGAAAATCTTCAAAAAAAAAAAAAAGGTCTGGGGGTGGGGCACAGACCTCCACAATCTAGCCCATTTCAGCAGACACATCTAGAGAAAGGATCCGTCCACTATCCAGAAACTCCCAGAAGATTCTGGGCAGTCCTGGCTGGGAGACTGGATCATAGGTGGCGAGCTGACCTTAAGAAGAAGGGGTTCGAGAATACCAGGGGTAAATGTAGACAGACAGCTAAGATAAAACGACTATGAAACCTGGAGACCTGCGCAGAAGTTATGGAATTTATACGGTAGGCAGCAGGGACCCATGAAAGTTTTTGAGAGGGGAGATAATAAAAGAGGCATTTGAAAAAGAGGGTGAACCTGACAGGGTAATGACAGGAATTAGGACGCAGAGAGAATCTGGATCAGAGGAGCAGTTTCGGGGGCTAGGAATGGGCTAGCTGGAACGGGAAGGAAGGAAAAGAAAAGCAAGAAAATTCATAAGAAAAAAATCAACAGACTCAGATTTTCACTAATTATAGTGGGAAAGAGGAGAAATAAACACTGAAATTTTGAGTTTGGAAATGATTGAAACACTGAGGCTAATATAGACAGAGAACCAGCAGGTTTGGGGGCAAATGTTGCAAGTTTGATTAAGTGTGAGGTGACAGCTCTATTTCTTGGGCTCTCTGGCAGTACAAGATTATTGAAAATTAACTGAAAATTATACTAGAGTGAAGCATATGGTGCAGAAGCACATAGTACACCGGGTTTTGATTTAAAATTTGGATTGTCTGATTTCAAAGGCTTTAATAACAAAAGTCCAATTTAGTTTCCCTTGAAAACTGGAAGATATGGCACCATACCAGTAGGCATTTTCACAGGGCTCGTGATATGGTGGCTGCCCTAACTTTAAAAGAGACAAATGTCCTGGCTCCCCATCAGACCCTGGTCATTCATTTCTATGACTTGCCCCAACTTTGGTTTCGAGCACTCTGATAGAGCAATGCTATAATAACTAGTGTACAAATGATTGTGCATATATACACCTAACTAACCCTCTCTAAGCCACCGATGTGTATTGCCTGGTAAATGTTTAAATTTTTAGTTGAATAAAATATTTATACAAATTTGCATTAAAAGATATATATGGAATGATAACCAATAAAGGAGGCCATTTTCATTCTAAAGTCTCTCTGCACCAAAGCTATTATCCAAGTTTCTCGTTTTTATCTAAAAGGAGCATACGGTATTGAATCTATGGGGGTTCATCACATATGTTTCAATTTACAGATGAGGAAATAAAATGTATATGGACTTGCCTTAAGGCTGCTCAACTGATGGTGGATCCCAGACTAGAGTTCCCAGATGATCCAGCAACAACTCTGTAATTTTAAAAACATTTTTGTCTAACCTCTTTATTTGATTTTCTAACACATGCGTATCTGTTTAATCTTGGGAAACCACTTAAACTTCTGTCCTATCAGGTCTCCCTTTAGACACTTTCACAACATTTTTCTATTAAAATGAACAGCTTCCTAATAACTGACTCGGTATAAGTAGATGGAAAACCACTGGGTAGAACATTGAGGAAGAAGTTTACAATGGAAGTATCAGGCGTGTCACCATCTAACCTCCCTGATAGACCTCCCCAGGACTACAAGTGAGGCAAGCTGATACTATGTTATCTGATAAAACAAAAATATGCTCTAGCATCAATATCAATGAAGTACTATTGCCTCAAAACATGTGAATAAATAGTTGACTCAATCTCATCAAGCCTTTAGGTCTAACTTCAGTCTACAGGAAATGCAGCGGGTTGATGCACAGGTTTATTGACACCACAAAGAATCCATTAGCCGAATTCAAGTTGTGGACAGTCTAGGTGCAACTGACCCGGTTTCTTTAAAAATGAATTGTATGAATATTTTTAAATGTTTCTTTTAGTCTATGGCCGATCCCGTCTGATCTCAGAAACTAAGCAGGGTCGGGCCTGGTTAGTACTTGGATGGGAGACCACCTAGGAAGACCAGGTGCTGTAGGCGTAAAAAAATAAAAAAAATAAGAGATTGTAAGCTGACAAGGTCCTTGCAATCTGTGAGGTCAACCAAGGGTTGCCTCGCCTAAAAAAATATAAAAAATATTTATATATTTTAAAGGAAACTTAAGAACCAAAACAACCAAGTAATCTTGTTTGGATCCAGATTTGTAAAAGCAATCTTACAAAATCATTTTTAAAAGATAATTGGGGTATTAAATAGTATCAGGGAAGTACTATTCACTTTATTAGATGTAATAATGGTATCGAGGTTATGTAAGAAAATGTATTTTTTTTTTAGGGATGCCTACTGACATGTAGGGCTGAAATAACATGACAACATGAGGCCTGGGATTTGCCTTCAAACATATACTTAAGAAAAAAAAGAGAGGAAACAGAATAAGTGAAAAAAGATGGGGAAATGTTGATAGTTGCTATAGCTGGATGATGAATGATCACACATGGTTTTAAAAAAAATAAAATGAAAAAAAATAGAGGTCAATCTTTAAGGGAAAAAAATACAACTTTGCTTTTACGATTAAACTTCACATGGTGTTGGGAGGACTGGCGGGCAGTGAGCCGCAGTGATGCAGTGGTGTGAGGGGACAGCTGCCTTTACCTGCTACCTACCTAACATCAAGGGCGAAGGGTGCAAGAGGAAAGGGAAAGGGGGAAGCATCCCCAGAGGGAGTTTGTCCACTCTTCAAACGTAGCTACCACATGATGTTTATCTTGTTCTTCCTCTGAACTATAATTTAATTGCCAAATCATATGACTAAACTGTGTATCATCTCCTCCTCTTCTTAGACTGAAAACTCCTCATGCTGTAGAATTTGAACAGTGGTCTCTCCAGTGGTGGGCCTAAATCCTGGGGTTTGCTCGGAGCCATAGCTTGTTTGTGAGACTGACCAGCCACCTCCTCAAAACTTAAAAACATAAAACTGGATGGACGAAGTTCAGATTTTGGAAAAAGCTGCAAGTATTCATTCATATTTTCTAACTCCCTAAGTGACCTCTACATAAAATGTAAATATTTTAATTCTGAACATTTGGAAACAATCTAAATTAGAAGAGTCAACCTACACTATGTCCAAGCAATGGGACATTCAGAAAAAGTTAAGGTTGTGTTTTAGAAGACTATTTAATTTTTTGGAAGTCGGACCTATTATTTATTATATGTGAGGCTCAAAGAAGTGAAATGGCTCAAAGCCATTGAGCTAGTAGGTGGTAGAACTGGATATGAACTCAGGCTCCAGAGTCCACAAAATTTGCCAGATCAGAAAGGTTAGGTGAGCCAAGTAATAGACT